AGCTTTGTAAATTTCTATATATAGTAGTTTAATGATTTGCTCTGACTACAAGTAGAAGCCTTGGTGACTGCATTGTAATAATCCACACTGTTACTATTAAAAAATTTTTACTAATAAAGATATGAGTAAGGCCTCACCTTAAAACCAAAAAAAAAAAAATTTTTTACTAATTTATTTTTATTAATATTAGTGTATAGAATTAAAAAAAGAATTGATGTATAGGCTACCTAATATGAGAAAAAAACTTAAAATAATGCTTAGTCAAATCATAATTAATATTAAAATCAATCTTGCTAATAATTACAAAATTACTAATCATCAAAATATACAGTGATTACAATACTTAAGCAATTAAATGTTCCTGAAGATGAGGCAATAATGTTTTCTAATCACAGATTTCAAGAAAGAATTTGTGTACATAGTAACTCATTATATAATCAAAGACTTGTATTTATAGTATTATTGATTCTATTTGCAATACAAAAGCAAGATTTAAATAAGTTTGAATCAAATTATATAAATAACAATTAATTAGAATATAAGTTACAGTTATATATATTTAATAATTAATTTAAATAAATATATAATATATTTTATTTTTTTAGCCTTAAATTTAAATATTGATATATTGAATTTGCATAATTCAACTATTAAAAAGTCTCAAAATTTAGCTATTGAAGAGTCTTACAATTTAGCTATTGAAAAGTTTTATAGCTTAGCTATTAAAGAGTCTTCTAATTCAGTTATTAAAGAGTCTTCTGATTTTGCTATTAATAAATTACAAGATTTAATCGAAGTACTATACTTACAAGATTTTCAAAAAGGTATTTAAAAATTTTTTTTATTTTATATAAATTGTAATTTAATTTTAATTTTTTTTGCTTTAATGTATATAAAAAATAATAATCTTAAATAAAAGAAATTATATTGTAAAAAAAGAAATATATTGATGGTTTAAATTCTAAAGTCCTTAAGCCATTTAAGATTCCTATGAATGATTCTAAAAAAATTAAACTATACAAGTATTGCCAAAGAATACTATTAAAAAAAACTACAAATAATATTATACTTCAACTTTCTGAAAAGCAAAAATCACTTAATTGGTGATTCACCACTCAACCAGAGAGAGCTCATAGTGTAATGTGATGCAGTTTACATATAGAAATTAGGGTTTTTGGAATGTGAGCTGCTTCTATCTAAAACTTTTTTTTGTACTAAGTTAATCATCTTTGGGTCTCTAATTGAAGTTGTAGAGCTCATCGAGACAAATCTAATGGTAGTTGAATCGTCAAAATTGGCTTGGTGGATCACTAGATATCTTCGAAAAACGTTTTGCCGACTATGTAAAATTCTCTTTCGACAATAATTATTGCCAAGAGAATTTTACATAGTCGGCGAAACGTTTTCGGAGATATCTCGTGATCCACCAAGCCGATTTTGACGATTCAATCACTATTAGATTCGTCTCGATGAGCTCTACAACTTCAATTAGAGACCCAAAGGTGATTAACTTAGTACAAAAAAAAGTTTTAGATAGAAGCAGCTCACATTTCAAAAACCCTAATTTCTATATGTAAACCATGTCACGTTACACTATGAGCTCTCTCTGGTTAGTGGCGAATCACCAATTAATATTACTTTAAATATTTTACTTAATAATTAGATAATAATTTAATTTATCTGCTAAAAAGTTTATATAATTTCTTGTTTGCATATTTGTAATTTTTTATAATGCTGTAAATTTTTTTTTAAGGTGAGGTTTTGTTTTTATCTTTATTTAATAATTTGTATTAAGAATCCACTATGTGTTTCTCTGGTCTATAAGACCAATAATAATAAATATTTTTACAAGAATAAGACTCAGACTATAGATATTTAACTATCTAATTTATCTGCAATTTAAACCTACTAAAGTAGTTAAAACTTACCTAGATTTTATAATTTATAAAATTATTTGTTGGTATGCTATATTTTATCCAAGTAATTAACTATGTAGATGCTTTTTTATTGCTTTTTCAAAAGGTAAACAGTTATTATCCATATGTTGTTGATTAGGTAGTTCACAATTATAGCTATAGGTATATGGTATTCTTAATTGTAGATTATTAGATGTGAGTGTAGTACTCTGTCTAGTTTGATTTCTGTTAATATAATGGGTATATTATATTTTTGTTTCTAATTTGATAGCTTAGTACAGTATAGTTTCCAGTAGTATTCCTATGAACTGAACTTAACTGAACTTTTGGCCAAGTTCAAGTTCAGTTCAAAATTGAACTGAACTTGAACTTGAACTTTTTTT